GTTTATTAGTTTATTAGTCAGTCACCCCCCTTGTGTGTCAACAGTGGTCTGATTAGCCACTATTTAAGTTTCCCTCATGTCAGTTTGTTCTTGAGTTCTTTATGTTAAAGCCTGAATTGAATTCTGTTTTGTTGACCTCTGTTTTTGGGCCTAGTTTATAATTTTTTTTAAACCTTTTTGGAATAATTTTTTTTTCTTCAAAGATTTCAGTGGTTTTCTAGCTGGTTTGTGCAAATCCCTCACAAAAGGGTTAAGGTCAGGTGAGCCATTGGACCCGACGACGATCCAAAATAGGTTTTCATGCATGTTCCGATTAACCAGCTGGTATTAATCATCCAAACCATCTGCCTGTTACAGCCTGATGCATCAGAGTGCCCGTGTTTCCCACATATATTGTTTCCCCCTCAAACTGAAAGAGGTGAGCATCCTGATTGGAATAACTACTCTGATTGAGATACCTTGAGAGTCAACAGAGGACAGCCTTAGCATCGACCTACGAAATGCTCTGAAGGACTCAGGGTAACCAAACATCTTTAAAACAGTCATTCCTTCCAACTTTGTGTCCCAAACGGTACAAACTTCTCCCGAATTTCACCTCCAGGACTTCCTGTCTGACCCCACCACTACAGTTGTTAAAACAAAAAACTATACATCTTCCACCATCACCTTGAATGCACTGTGAAAAAAAAACAAAAAACTTTTTATCATTTAAAAAAATAAATGTTAAATCTAGCGACAATAATTTAGGTCAGTTCAGAAAACTAAGATAGTTGCAATCTTTAACTTTATCAAGTGAGTTCCCGGTACTTTTACCTTTAAGTTCTTGGTTATTTCAAAAGGTGAAAGTTCAGCTAACTTGGGAAACCCAGCTGTTGGAGTTGGCATTTAAATTTGATACTAAATAATAACTGGGACCCTAACTTAATGTTGAAGCTGCTGTAATCTTATTGTATTGTGGTTTAAGGACTCATCATTTTGTCTTTGTTTATCATATTTTGGTACCCACCACATTTCTTTGTGATGCTTACACTGCGTAATAACAAACTTATCTTATCTTTAGTCGTCTCTTTAAAACAAAATGTCAGCTCATCCATCATGCTGCTGTCCTGACAAACACCAGGAGAACGGATCATGTAAGCGACCTAAGATGAGCACACCGGCTCCCTGGACTGAAAGGAACGGGTCTGTTGAACTCGAGGGTTTGCTGTCCTACAGGGATTTCTTGAAGAGGATACAAGGGATAGATAGATAAATGCATCAGTCAGGGGAAGAATGTAAAAATTATTCCAAATCAATAATTGGAGAAAATATGGTATCACCGCCCTGACAACAGCCATCACTAAACAAGGGTCAAGGAGGTGGCAGCATGACAAACTGGACATTTTTAGGCAAAACTCTAAAAGGCAACATCCATCCATCCATCCATCCATCCATCCATCCATCCATCCATCCATCCATCCATCCATCCATCCATCCATCCATCCACTCTCACAGGTAAGGGCTATTTAGATACATCAATTAACCCACTAGTCATATTTTATATATTTTATATTCGAATTCTGACTTTAAACTCAGAATTCTGACAGCTAACAAACATGTTAGCATCAAGCCATAGCCATGTCTGTTTTAGAGACTAGCTCTCTAGTTTTAATGACCTTCTACTCCTCTATTAATAAGGGGACCCCTCGGGCACGTAAAAAGTTGCCTAATTCACTGGCCACCTCAAACAACTCACATTTTTGTCAGTGAAGCTGAATGCTCCCACATCTCTTCCTTCATGGTGCCCATCTACATTAAGATCCAAAATTCTGAGATTAAAGCCAGAATTCTGAGACAAAAGTCAGAATTGAGAAAAAAGTCAGAATTCTGAGATGAAATTCTGACTTTTTTTCCCATGTTAAACTGAAATAAAATTTAAAAATCAGTTACCCGGTAACTTTTTTTTTTTTTTTTCAGTGGCCCTAATCCTCTTCCGTAGATTATGGTTTTAAACTATTATCTTTTATTTTCCAATGTGCACATAGTAGCTATTTAGTTTAGATGAGGTTCGTTAGTTTAGTTAAGATGTTTGACTGAGGTTAGCGATTTTTGCTAATAAATTTCTGTATTCATGCAGAGTTACTGTTTGATTTGAGCTTGAACCGCACTTTTACTTGTTTCTTTAACACACAGCTAGGTAGGCAAGCATTCACAGGCAACATGATGTCGGAAAGTTATTTGATTAAATATTGAATGTACATTTACTGCATAACATTGTTTACATCAGACAGTTTATCGCTCCTCCTTGTCCTGTTTTAAGAAAAAGGTCAGTTTCACGTGCAAAGGGCCCAACTGGAGAATATGTGACACGGTGGAAACCAACCCACCGTCCCTCTATGTCCTCAGATTTTCATCTTTCCAGTAAATAACAACAAGCTGCAATGTTATAAAACTGAGCTGGAGTTCTCGTAAAAGGAAACATGTGCAATAAACCTTTGCTCGCTGACACGAATTCCTCTTTTTTTACTTTAATTGTTTAGTTTATGTGATCAAAAGTGAAAAAAACAAACGGCACATCTGATTTGTGGAGGACACTTAATGATAAGAGAGACAAGGAAGTAAAACGGAGGCATAAAAGCTGTTCTATGACACATTTAGATGGTGATAAGCAATCAGCAGAAAATTAACTCTATAAGTGGTGTGTCGTGTGTTGGGGGAGGTGGGAGGTGGGGTGTACTTTGTCCTTTTAACTCCATGCGGTTATCAGACACCTGAGCTCTGTATAAACAGCTTCTCCTGACTTTGCTCTCGAGCAGAGCAGCTGTGTGAGGTGGTTGATTTTACTAACTACCTAAACCTTGAGTGGGACTCTGTTCTGGATCTGTAAAAGTTTGAGTCCGTAAGAGTCGATCATGATCAGCCGCAACTTTAAGAACGTGTTGGTGGTCTCCATTGGGTTTCTCTCTCTGTTCACGGCTTATGGAGGCCTGCAGAGTTTACAGGTAGGTCAAAGTGATTCCTTAATGATGCTGAAGAACTAATTATTGCTTAAAGATGCTAAAAATAAGGACTTTTATTAATGTGCATTTACTTAGGAAGGGATTTGTGGACAGAATAATAATAAAAAAAACTGATAGTGGAAATTAATAAAGTTCAAGCATTGTAAAGATGAAACTGAAGTGTTTTTTTTTATTTGAATCATAAAGATAATACTTTATTCTAAGAAAAAAATACAATATTGATTAATTGTAAA